GCGCAAAGGATTCTATCATTTGTTTTTCTCTGCGTGTATACTTTTCTGCTCAGTCACTTATGCAAAACCACCCGTGTGGTGGAGATATGTAGGCATATGTCAAAATTCCAAGTGGTCAAAGCCAACCAGGAGCTCTATCTACCAGACTGGCGGGCCTCCTATTTTTATTGCGGTTTGGGTACTGAAATGTAATTTTTCATTGCGTGTGTCTCTCTCTCTGTGTGAGTGGATGGGTGGAGGGGGAGGAGAAATTCGGTGTTCGCTACAGCTTGGCAGAGCGGGCTATAGTTGCGACGTCGACGCCTTCTCGGCGTTGTCGTCTCGAAAATGCGTATTTCTCGGCATATTCATTCTTCGAAAATGTCCCTCGTGGCGCGCCTCATCGTTCTTTCAACAGCGGCACGCTGCCACGCACGCCTGGTGTTTGAACACCGCGCCGCACCGTCGGGACCGCGGCGGCGTATTATAATGGCTCCCGACGGTCTATTCGGCGAGTTGCATCGCCGGCTCGCTGTCTTATTCGGGGACTCCAATTTCGTGAGTTCCTCGGGCGAAAAGAGTTCCTGCAAATTTCCAGCGCGGCCCTCGATTTGTCTGGCAGTGTCCAATTCCTGGCTTTCCCCTTGGAGGACGCCAAACGGCGGGTAGCTCGTCCATTTAACCGCCGTTCCTCGCCAGCTCCTCCCCTCGAGGCCTTCGCGACGCCCCCCTTTCGTCCCTTATCGGCTGGCCTTAGGGCAGTTTCCCTCTTGATGGCCTAATCTGTCCTCCTTTCGGGTGGGGCCGTGGACTTCCTCCGGTTGACTTCGCGGCCAGTTGCCCTCCCGTCGTTGCACGCCGATATCCAATATCGGGTTTGTCCGAAATGAGTTGTGATAGAGGTGCCTTTAATGAAATAAAGACGGGACAGATGGCCGTTGGACCGTGTCTCAAGGACGGGAAATGAAAACAAAAAGGTATGGGATATAGACGGGCTAAAGTTGTGCCTACAGCACGTAGATCTCGGACGAGTATAGGGAAAATCAATACAGTGGATTTGTGCGAGCTTATCCGTGCCATGCGCCTGCGCAGTGGCTTGGCGAAGACAGCTGCGCGAGAAACGGTCTCAATTTGTGCCGCAAGGAAGCTGCTATCGCTCGCGTTTGGAAGGAGCGACAGAAAATAAAGAAAGCTCAATAGCTTTAGAAAATGAAAAAAAAGGGGGGGGGGGGAGCTTTGCTGTCCCAAGCCTGAAAAAAACTGCGAAGCTGGAGGAGGAGGAGGAATAAGCTTTATTATAGGAAACCAGCAGGTCTAGGTGGCCGGGTCTAGGCCTCCCATGAGGGGACGTCAAGGGCTTGCCTGGACGCCACCTCACGGACGTGCTGGGTCGCCCAGGTTTGGTCGTAAAGAGCGGGGCTCCGCAGAGCCTCATGGAGCTTGGCCATCGCTTGGCCACTCTAGATCCCACCTGTGACACCACCATATGCGAAGCTGGACAGCCTTCTTTTTTTCTCTCTCTTTGGTTTTCTCTTTCGTTCCTCCTTTCTTCTTTTGTACTTTACAGATTTTTTCTTTCTTTTTCTTTCTACTTTTGCTCCTTCCTTCTCTCGCTAAAGACTAATATTTATACGGTCTCTAAATCCGCTGCTAGGGCCTTTGCTTCTGGTTCCGTGTGCAAGGAAGTTTTCACAACTGTCGCTCACAAGGAACTCATCCACCACACTATTATTTGTTTCCCTGCTCACCTTGGCTTGAAGGTCGGGGGCCTCCCCAATGTCAACGAGCTAGCCCACTCCAAGGCGCGAGGCTTCACTTACCGCGCCGGGACTTGTGCTTCTCAGACAGCGGAATCAGCCTCCAACCTTCATTTTATGGACATTTTGACTACCTTCAATGAGATCACGAAGCACTATCAATTAGGCCGTAGATCCTTTCCATTGCCACACGAAAAGTTGTCTAGGCCACAGGCAATCTCTCTTCGCATGCTTCAGACGGGAACATACCCTAGCCTCGTAACCTATAGCGATTACTCCAATATTTCAGAACTTTGCCCGGACTGCCACAATCTCAGTGATTTTAACCACATGCTCTTGGAGGTGCCCCTCTTTACAGGAAAAAAAAATGAAAAATTTCCTGAAAATTCCTTTCAGTCAATGCTCACGAGTCCGGTTCTCATGCAACAAGGCTGTCCAGTAGGCCTCCCCGTTCCTACGTGGGAGCGGCCCGCGATCCTACCCCTATAAAACGGGGGTGGAATCCTTCAGGACCTCAGTAAAAGTTTTTCATCCATCCATCCATCCATCCATCCATCCATCCATCCATCCATCCATCCATCCATCCATCCGTCCGTCCGTCCGTCCGTCCGTCCGTCCGTCCGTCCGTCCGTCCGTCCGTCCGTCCGTCCGTCCATCCATCCATCCATCCATCCATCCATCCATCCATCCATCCATCCATCCATCCATCCATCCATCCATCCATCCATCCATCCATCCATCCATCCATCCATCACTCTTTCTTTATTTCTCGCTTGCTTCCTCTCTTCTTCAATCTTTACACGTGGTTCTGCCTGCATCACACCAAGCGATGACAGCAAACGACAGCCCGGCTTCCATGAAGTGTTTTGCACTTCATCTGGTACGCGGTGAGGTGTTTATACCTCACAAAATTTCGTGGCGTATGCTTTCTTTTCTGCCCCACACATTAAAGCATGCGAACTAATTAGGTGACATTCATTTATCAAGGCAGATATAGTGAGAGAGAACTCTTTATTGAAAGGCAAAGAATTTAGCCGGAATATGCTACATACACATTGCGTCGCTTGGAAGTATATATACTGCGTGATGCAAATATGTCGTAAAGATTTATTCGCGGTACTAAATAAATGAGGTAAAGATGTGAACTTAGTCGTACTTTCGCCCGCGAAAGTCTGCAGGTTATACCGTCGTCCTTTGCTTCGCTTTTGAATATCGTGTAATTCGTTATTGACAAATTGTTTAGTCCACAGGGAATTGCACACAGGGCTGTTACGTGTGCCGCAGCCCTCGTTCTCTCGTATATGATGTTGACTGTTCCGCCCACCGTACTACTTACCTACTTGTCAGGGATTTCAGACGTAAGATTCACTAGTACGTTCATACGTGTATCCATCGCACGGAACGATGAAATCTCACTTCGGCCCGATGACACCTTCATAGGTAATATTGTCAGATGCCATTCTAAAAAAACGGAGTACAGTTGAGAGTTGGTTTAGAAGATTCGAATACAAATGACGTATTTGGTTCGCTGAAGAACAAGCGTACTACATTGTTTAGAACGCGGCTGTTGTTTGTACGATTGACAAACGGCTGTCAACTCCCCTACATTGTTTCTTACGACGTCGCGAGCGCCACTAAGCGACGGCTCCGCGTCGTTACTGAAAAAAAAAAAAAGAACATTGCTGCGCTGTCGCTTGAGAATTGTATCTGTCAAGGGCTTTTTACTTCGCCGCACCCAGTTTCTTGCGTTTAAAGCCTGCCCTTCCGTTCTCACGACCTTGGCCAAGCTTCGCGCTGTGTCATCGGTAATCTCGCGGAAGTAAAGCACCGACGACGGTTCCTTTGCCCCCGAGTTTTGTTTTTATTTGTGATGTACCTTTCAGTGGTAGATAGGTATTAAATGTCGAAGGCTTTCCGCGGCGCATCTTGTTGCTTGCTTTGAAGGCTTCCGAGTACTTTTCTTCGCTCTCTCCCGCCAATAAAAAGTTTAAAAAAATAATAAAAGTTTATCAAAAAAAATAAAAGTTTATCCAATCCAATCTCTCCCGCCGCTACGTTGTGTTTACGCTAACAGGGTGGGGCGTAACTTCCCGTATTTTTTCTTTACCTTTCTTTTTATTCCTCACTCTTTGGCAGGCCGCGCTACGCTTCGCCTCGGGAGAACGCGACCAGTGAAGTGCTAAGGCGAGGGGGAGAGATACGGTAATACGCGAAGAATTGGGTGGGGGTATTTTTTTATTGTGCGCGAGAGTGTTTCTACGTCGGCCCGAAGTCCTCGGGCGCGCAGGTGAAAGCGTGCGGAGGAGGGCGAGGCGGTGACGATGATGCGGTGGCGGCGCGGCTATCGCCGCAAGCAGGGCGGTGCGCGGCTGTGGCTTTGCCGGATTCACTTTCTGTTCGGCGGCCGCGTGCGCTCGTGCCGCTCTCGACGCCTGTGTGGCTGTGACCGCTGGGGGGGAGAAGAGCGCGCGCGGCGCTCAGCTGTGTGCGTTCGCTGTAAAAGGTCTCGGTGGAAGAAAAGTCGGGGGTTGTTTTGTTGTCGCGGCGGCTCTAACGAAATCCCGGTGGGAATCAACTGGTGCTCATCTAGTGCGGCGACTCTTTGTGCTTGATTCGCGCGTGCCCTTTCCCCGCCTGTACACTTCCTGTTTCGTTTTCTTCTTCTTCCCCGAATTCCGACGACGACGTGGTCACTGCGAGCACGTGGCTTCCGGATGCGGGCTGCAGGTTGCTCGTGCCACCGCTGCTCTCTTTCTCGTCGACCGTCGAGGTTGCTTCGGACGTCTGCGGCGGCGGCGTTTGGAGCCTTCCACGTCTTGTAGACTTCGGGGACGCACCAAGAGACCCTACCGATACGTCTGGAATTGTGTTCTTGTTGAACGCCGTTATCGTGCGCTTATTGCAGAGCGACGCAACGCCTCGATTGTGTTTTTTTTTTAGATTGTTTTTTCACGTCGGTGATGAAAACTACAGACCGCATCGAAAAGACGAAGTAGAGGAAGTGTGCACCCTGTCGTAGCTTGCACTTGTGTGTGTTTGTGTGTCCATGTGCGCGCTCAACGCCTGCGTCACCCGAGTTTGTTGGTGTTAGTTTCCGACGTGTTCGTGAGTCTCAGTGGGCTTTAGCGTATACAGAGACCAGACGTAGAAATACACGCACTCAGCAGCAGCAGCAGCCATGAACGCCGTTGTGGACGGTAACGGTCGCAAGCTGAGCGCCGGCTCTGATCAGCTGGCGTTTCTCTTGACTTTTCTGCACGGCAGAGGCCGCCTGTACGAGCTGTTCGGCCAGATCGAGAAAGAGTTCGAGTCGCTGTACGCCGAGAATCTCGCACGTGAGTACACATCCCGCATGCGTTTTCCTTGCATGACATACCTGTTTGTCCAATATTTAACCTATGAGAGCCCTATCTGGGGCTATAATATATGCAGGAAACTGTCGCAAATGGCCTGCGAATACTCCGTAAACAGAGAGGAGCTTGTCATTGTTGAAGAAGTGCAGATAATTTATACGGTTGATAAATTCTTATTAAAGCTGGGCTGTCTTAACGGAAGCTTATCTTCGCTACATGCATGGTCATTGACACTGCACATGTTCAGCGATAGGTACTTTTAAAATTGGTTGCACAAAGCTTTCCGTTAGCGTTTGTTGCCACTGCATGATTCAGACGCAATCATCTTGCGCACCGACTTTACATTTACGTAAATAGTGTATGTACCCTACGAGTGCTATGTTTGCGTGCTCTGTCCGAAAACAGTCTAATGCCATTAGAAATCGGCTGTTGCGTACTGCGCGTCGGAGGATCCTAAGATACACATCTGAATCGGTGGTCATGTCGTCATCAAATTTTATGAAGTCTGTGCCTTATGCACGTTGCGACGGCAAAGGCAGCTATTGCAAAGTGCATAAATACAGCGATATTTGCGTGTCGGGGACACCCTTAAAAAAAAAAAAAGTCTCGTATGCTTGTCTCTTCGCACTTTCACAGGCCGGTCTGAGACTTGGCGCTTATACATATAGTTATCGACGCTCCTTCGAGAGCTTATCGCAAAATATGGGAACTAGCGTACATCTGTCTGTTCGTTTATGTCTTCCGTGTGGGTTTTTTTTTTATTTACCCTGAAACAAGCGTATAGATGAAGTTCAATTCATGAAAAGTAGCTGTCGGATAAATGACAAGTATACTCGCTGAGTGTGACGTCTAGAGCGAGACATTTGCGGTTGCGAACTTTAATCGTGCTCTTTCTTGCATAGTTTGAACGTTGAGATGTTACCGTTAAATATTTGCGTAGTGTGTGTCGTTATATTGTAGAAGATGTGAGGCTGAAACTTAGGTGTTAAAGCGTGGCAAGGAACGCTCCGAGACCCCGCGATTCACTGATTGCCTCAATAACGCCCATTCGCCGTAACACCAAATATAGCATGTTACGTCCTCGGTTCGAAGTTCTTACTCGGTACAAATTGCCCAATTTCACTAAACGTGTGCACATTGTTGCGACATCAACGATCATATCAACACATGGGAAGCGTATATAGAGCTTATGAAAAGATAACTGACAATTGTTGAGGTTCGTCAAGTTTGTATAGCGTGTTAAACTTTATTCTAGAGGTCTCCTCTGGAACGTCAACTGCAAATAGTTCGGCTTTTCTAGCATATTAGCATAGCGTGCTACCCAGACGCACGGAAAAAAGAAAAAAAAAAGGTTCAAGATCTCGAGAACAAATAAAAAGCGATGAAAGATGCAAAAGAACACGGTGGGTATGAAGCTTCGGGCAAACATATAGCCCCACTAATTTTGTCATGGCACTTTACTTATAGATCAAACTTTACAGATGTTCATCCAGAAGTGTCACAAAGCGTGCGAAACCTTTTAAATAGTTATAGCGCGAGAGCAGAATGACGACAAAGAGACAAGTTCTCTTCTCGCGCCTATAACCATCCGTTATGTCATACCAACTAGCCCGTTCCCTCTACGTTGTATCGCATTCGAGGCATTTTTCTGGCGTGCCCACCTTTTGTACAGCACTTTCGAGGGGCTTACTAAAAAGTAGAGAGATATATCAAAACAGGGCTCAAAGTAAATAATCGAAATATATCGAGTTATAGTGCAGCGCGCTTGGGGGGCACTTTCTCTCTAAGCGATAAGGGGCTTGACTGTCCATCATTTCCTGGTGCAGAGAGCTGTTGTGAGTGCAATCACGGGCACTTGTATATGTCGGACTAAGGGGAATCGAAATATAGTCGATTAGTGCAAAACAACCACATTTGACACGCAGTACAGTCGCCGCCTCTACGACGTGACTGTACTGAGAGTGTTTTGTTTTATTTCGTTGTGTTTATTTGTCTCATGGGTTACCTGTTGAACTGCTTTTCTTTTTTTATGATAGAACGTGAGTTATGAAACGCAGTATAGAACTTATCTGAAGGAAGCAGGTGTTGATTTTCCGAGAGTTGGGGCTTTCAGGTTCACGTGAAAGACCTTGTCCCGGAACTTTTTCTTATACCTAAAGCTCGCCATCAACGACAAAAGTTTTTTTTAAAAAAAAAGGGGGGGGGGGGGAATTGACGCTTATGTTTGTAAAAGCTGAGCTCGTAAGAAGGAGTGTGGTATCGGACGCGAAACGTGGATTGTGTTTCCTTTTCGGTTCGCGTTGCTGACTGTAGCGTGGCATTATGGTTTGGAAAAAAAAAATCGAATTGATAAATCTTTCTTTCCGGTTATCATCCCGGCTTCGTCCTTGGACACGAAAGCACGAAGTTTGTAGCGTATAGACGAGAATTCGAAAGCATGACACAGAAAAGTATTACCTGAAGTGGTGCGTTCTTTCAGAATTAAATTTTCATCAGCTTACAGAAATACGAATAGGAGTTCGAAAGTCTTAATCGGATTTCGCGTTGAAACTTTGGAAATAAGTAAGTCGTTAGTCTCTCTTACGTACGTTAGTGTGTATGACAGTTCTTAAAACTTGTTACACTGGTTATGTTTGTAAAACATGCGTCGTGAGGGCGCTCTCTCCCCCTCTAAAAAGAAAAAGAAAAAGTCGTGAAATTAATTTAATTCAGGCAGTAGCGACCCATGCTTTCTTGTGAAAGAGACGACTCCCCATCCTCGTCCCCGCTACACACACAAACGAAATCGCAGTCCGTTCCACGCCGTGGAAAATATCGGATGGCGTTTCTGTAAATCTCGCAAGTGTATTAAGATCGAGCATCAACATTTAGGGTCATTATCATTTCGTTTTATTTGCGTCTTTATGACCACGTTCGCCCCTCTCTGGTCATGTGACCTGCGTGACCACTATTACTAGCACACTACGACACTAATGTTAACTAACTGTTAGTTCTCACTAATATTGTGTCTAGCGAAGAAAACGAGCCCTTAAGATTTCCCACTTCTTTCCTTGTACACCGCGACGGCCGTAGGTCGGCAAAAAGTATGTGGAGCTCATTCGGACTCACTCACGAAGTACATCGTGCCTTTAGCCCAGAACTTTCTTCAACCGGACTTAATCTCACTGGAATATTATTCATCCGAGCTCAGACTCCGTCTGATTGAGCCTGAGTGAGTTTACCGACCTGTAAAGACGGCACAGGGTAGATAGATTAAGACAGCAGAGCTGTTAAAGGTTAGAAAACAAGAAAGAAAACCCGTGTTTGAGCGTATTTAAACGCGCTGTGAAAATTAGTTATGCGGAATCCTGCAAGGTGGCGGGAGGTAAACTGACGACCACCCGTTCGCAGCACAAAGCCTCGAGAAAATCCGTACAGATTTCTTGTAAAGAAAGCGTCTCAGTTGCCGAAGAATTTCGCCTTGGTCCGGGGATCGAGCCCGGGACCAACCCTTTTCCGGAGCAGTCGCTCTACCGATTGAGCTAACCGGACAGCTAGTTTACCTTACTTGGATTCAGGCGTATAAGGATTCAGGCCATCCTTTGTAGTAAATAGTGTTGCACTAAAGGCGTTAATCTCAGCTAACTGCACACGTTAGAAGTGTCGTGCCCCACCCATTACTTGCTCTGATTAGCAATGCATCGATAAAGCATTAACAGCGATGATCGTCCCGACGCAGTGGAGCGGAAAGGAACTGCGTTGAAAGAACAAAAAAAAAAAAAAACTTACGCGAGAACAAGAAAAGGACAATCGGTCAACTTGCGTAAGTGGGAATTGATTGCCAGTCACGCCACACCTGTTGTCCTTGAAACTCGTCGTCGGAGTCGCGTGCGCGCGACCGGCGCCTGGTTTGCCATCGACCGAACGACATCCGCGCGATGCGATTGATTTGCGATGCGCGTCTATAGACGACGCGAAAGACCTGCAGTGCTCACGAAAGGCCCGTATGATTCGTTGCGTGACAACGCGTGACAAGGTGTATTATATGACCTTGACCGTTTGTGGCGCGTTTGAACGCACGCTAAAGAGAAAAACGACAATTCTCGTATGGGCAAAGCATCCTTTCGCTATTACAAATGTCATCGCCGCGCTTTCCGCTGGGAGGCGCTTGGTGCGCCAGCAAACGAGCGAAAAAAAGAAAATGCGGCTGCAGCGACGGCACCTTCAACTTCCGGCACCCAACTCCGTGGCGACATATATCTACTGGGCTTTACGCGGTTCCTAATCAGTAAAAATGAAACACATTGCTATCTGGGAGGTCGCGGACATATCACGTGAACTTCTGGAAAATGCCCTTGAGTGGATGTCGTCAAAATGAAAGAAATAATACATTTTTTTTTTGTTCCGTACGTCGCGCGCAGATATTTCGGCGCGAAATTTGAAGACGAAATTTTATCACCGATTTTCTCTTTGATCTATCATGGTGAAGTTAACGACATCAGATTTGTCAGAGGACAATTTATCAGTGTAAATTGATTCGTTGTTTTATTTTTGCTGTCATTTTAAGAGTCGGTGGGTTCCGGCTGCTTCGCGTCGAACGTGATAGACTCCTGTACGTCCTCGTGGCTTTTTTTTTTTTTAATTCCCGCCCGCAGCGGCGTTGGTTGAATCCGCAGGTTCCTGTAAACTTTCGCCTTCGTTTAATTATTCCTGCTGGGCATAGCCGAGCTAAGTCACTGCTAGTATTAATTTGAAGAATGAACCAACCCGCCCAGCTAAAAGTTTTATTGAACCCCCTTTCTCCTTTAATTGCAGGAATACTCGACCCTTTTTTTTCCCCCAATAGTAATATCGACGTCCTGATTTTTGTTCTTAATGTAAAACGTGGTTTACCTAAAGCGGCGATTGAAAACGAGACCGTATCCCGTGTATAATCTCGTAGGCTCGAAAGAAGATACACGCACGTGCCCTCAAAATGCCTGAAGGGGGGAGAGGGCAAGGGA